AGGCCCGGGCCGCGCAGCGGGGTCCCGGCGTCGGGAGCCGTGGGTGGGCGGTGGGAGCCCCGCCGGGAGCCCTGCTGGTGGTCGCGGGCCTGCCGCATCTCACCCGGGTCCCTCTTCCCCCAAGCAGACCCCGCCTGCGGGCCGCCCACCGCGACCATGGTCTCCAAGTCCGACCAGCTACTCATCGTCGTGTCCATCCTAGAAGGTGAGCGGCCCGGGGCTTGCTTTTGCAACTGCTGCTTGCCGAGTTGTACCAGAGTGGCGTGCGACCGAGGCTTGGTTAGTCTTAAGAACCTTTGTCATCTTTGCTTTTGCGCTCCCCCCGGGCTTGTTCACAGTTGTAGTTAGTAAGGTCTGTTAGGCGATTGATTTAAAAACCTCTCAAGGGAGCGTGAGAGCTATTAGGGATAGGTGGTATTTAGCGTGCGGAGCCGGAGCCCCAGGGAATGTAGGAGAAACGATTTCCATCAGAAGCAGCATGTCGATGACTTTTATATGTGAGCCGAGTGTGCCTGCAAAGCACGTTCTGTTCAGCGGCCTCCCGGTGATCCCATTTGTGAGAACTTTGCTTCGAGTCGAATACAGATTTCCTGCAGTCTGAAGTATTGCGGAGGCCATTCCCTTTACAAGCTTTGATAGGGCCTTAAAGGGCTAGAGTCGTCAAGACGGTCTCTTGTACGTGCCTTGAGGTTCCGTTGGTTGAATAAGTGACATTTGTTTATTGGAGGCTCTTTGAGTGTCAGGCACTGTGCTGGGAATGGAAGGAGACAAGAGCCCTAGTCCTGAAAGCTCAGGGTATAGCATGAAGAATGTGTATAATTCATCAGGGTGTGGAGGAAGGAAAGACAAGCTCTGGGGACGATTTCCCAGCGGAGGGGACATTGATTTGGGTCCTAAGGGATGATGAGGTCTGTGTCAAGGGAAAAAAGGAAGGGAGGGCTTTCCATGTAAAGGGAAGAGCAAAGAGCACTTAAGGTATGGAAAAGCAAGGCATAGTCTGCAGTTGCTTAAATTCACTGGGGTTGGAGAGTAGGTGGCAGAAAGTGGGGGCATAGGAATTGGTAGGTAGAGTGAGGATAGGTTATGAGTAAGGTGACAACAGTCATCTTGAGTGGGCCAGAGGAATGGCTGGCTTTTTTTTTTTTTTTTTTTTAAACCACCTAGTGGAGGTATTTTGTGGAGGCCTGGCACTATTTGGGGGATGAGAGGGAATGAGCTGTAATGAGTTTTGGAACAGAAAACTGACCAGAAGCTGTAAAATGTTGGGGTATTTTTAACTGTTATTTTACTGATGGTTTAAAGACAGAGGATTGAAATCCCCTTGTAATTTGGTTAGTAAAAGCTTTTGGGCTTGGTACTTGCTCCCTGTAGAATAGCAGCAAACCGAAATACAAGGCACTCCTTTTCCCCTCAGGCATGTTATTAGGCTTCTGTCTTCTTGGGGAGATCAGATTCATCTGCAGGACACACTATGTTGGAATGCTTTCTAATATTAAAAATACTGGATGTGGGCCGTAAATATAGGTTTTGGGGGTGAGTGGGGATTATGGCTTAAGGGCTGTGAGTGGTAAGTAAGGATGGAAGAAAGTCCTTGCTGGCAGTTAGATAACCCAAGCCAGTGAGGGAGGATTAAGCATGGTGGATAGAATGGTGAAGAGGCCTGCAAGATGCCCAGGGTCAAGGGAGGTAACATTGAGGAATAATCTGGTGAGATAAGCTTGTGTAGCTGGACTGAATAGACCTTGGAGGATTTTGAAAGCCAAGGAGTTTAAATTTAATGTTCTAAAAAAGAGGGAGGCAGCCAGTATTCCTAAGCAGGAGAGCATCATTTGCAAGTTTAGTAGAGGTGTGCAGGGAAGGGAATCTGGATTCAGGGATGTCAGTTAGGTGTTGCCACAAACGTGACTAACCCTGGAGTGTGGACCTCCCTGCAAACCGTCTCCTTTTGTTTATGTTTCCATTCATCGTAACCATGTTGTTGCCTCAAGCCCAGAACCTGAGAGTCCTCATCTTCTTGGGTTCCTTCTCCATCCCAACCTTCCAAATGGTCACCGAGTATTGTTGGTTTTATTTTTAAAATAATACTAGGGGCTTCATGTAAACTTATGAATGAAAATTTTTCCACTGTGAGCGTGCTGCTTTGAGGCCCTCTAATCTATTGTTATCTTTTCAGTAGTCTGTTTGGTGAATGGTTTATTTTTTTCCTTTTCAGAGAATATCTACTGCTCACATTATTCTCTAGGGTAATCTTTGGAAATGCAAATCTAATTGTCTTAAAATCCTTCGGTGTCCTAAAGGATAAGGTCTATACTTTTTAGAACAGGATTCATGGCCCTTTATGACAGACTGCTTGCCTACCTTTTCAGCTTGGTCTCCTCTCCTGCCCTATGTTCCTATGTTACCAGCTCTTTAGTTATATTGAGCTGTTTGCGGTTTCTTGCCTGCACCTCTAGAAATGCCCTTTATTCAAAAGAAAATGAGATTTCTACCATGAGCAAAACTGGGGCTATGTGCCGGATTCTGAGGATGAAAAAGACAAGGTTTCTTTTTTCTAAGTATTGTCTTTGGAATGAGGCAGGCACCTGTTTGTTCCAGTACATATTCTCTCTTCTTGGGCCAATTGGAGCTTATAGTTTAGGGTAGTGGGACTGAATATAAAGGGGTTTTTTTGACATCGATGAAATTCATTTGGGGAAGCCGGTGATCTTTCAGAGCAGCTCAAAACGATGTCCAGAGAGAGGGCTTTGTGATTGCTAGTTGGGAGAGCCGTGCGCTATGTAGTAGGACTACTAAGTGGGGAGTTTCAAATGAGTGCTTCAGGTTGAAAGTCACAGGATGGCAATCGAGATCTCTCCGAGCCCTTCCTTACGAAGTGGCTGTGTCAGGGTGAGTGGCAGCTGGGATGTATTTATTTAACAGGGGTGAACGCTCGTCTCACCAAAATGCCCCTCACCTGACCTGTAAACAGGTGGATGATAAGATTCTTGTTCTTTAGTTCTTGAGCTTCCTGTACCCTGTGTCTTCAGTTTGTCTTTCCACTAGACCCTCAGTTCCTTCAGGGCAAGTACTCTGTTTTACTCTTTTTGCATGCCATTGTTTGACATGATTAATACCTGACTGCTGTACCTTCAGGAACCAGTGAAGGAATGGAGTCAGGCAGTACCAAATTTGATAACTTACAAAATTGTCCTTGAGATTTGAATGAATGAATGAATACATATGTCTGCTTTTCTCTGGCTAATTTGCTGAGTATTCTTGACTGTGTTAACAGGAAAATTAAGATGCAGATTGATGGGTTTTTGCTAATTTGATTATTTCCCGACTCTCTGGATGACTTCCCTGTTCTATATTAGTAGCCGCTATAGTAAGATCTAAAATTGGCGGAATCACGCTTTTAATTGTTTAATTCTAAATGTCACTGAGATCATTGCTGCTCAAAGGGTGACTCAAGGACAACAGCATTGACATCACTTGGGCAATGCAGCCTCTCAGGCCCACCCTAGACCTAATGAACTAGAATCCACATTTTAACAGGATCCCCAGATGATTCTTGCACGTTAACCTTTGAGCAGCACTAATTTACAACTTGTATTTGTATGTGTGAGTACGTGTTAGCAGGTAGTTAGTGGAATATATGAGTCAACCAGATGCAGATCAGTTTTTAAACCACATGCTAAAAGATCATGTTTGATTTTTATATACTTCTGATTAACCTGTATAGTCTTTTATTCCAGGTCGCCATTTTCCCAAGCGTCCAAAGCATATGCTTGTAGTAGAAGCAAAGTTTGATGGAGAACAGTTGGCTACTGACCCTGTGGACCATACCGACCAGCCAGAATTTGCTACCGAGTTAGCCTGGGAGATCGACAGGAAAGCCCTCCATCAGCACAGGTAATTGTTATTTTCAGTTCCTTCTGCTCTATTTTTTAGGTTCCTAGAGACGAATAAATTTATGTCTTACTACATTAGAGTAACAATGATAATATTTGTTGAGCGGTTTTGTAATGTGTCAGGAGATTTTCAAAATACTTGGCAGTAATAATTCACTTGAGCATCAGAACAACCCTGTGAAGTGGGTGTTAGGATGTCCCCCCAGGTACAGGTGAGGAAACTGAGGCCTAAGAAGGGAAGTAACTTGTCATAAGACAGACCGTCAGCTGGATATGGTCGAGCCCAGCCACTTGAGCTCTAGAGCCTCAGTTTCTAACCACTGCATCTACCTTTTTTTTTTTTTCCCCGTGATGTCTGAGAGACTAGATAGTCTAGAAGGGAATAGATATCCTAGAAGGGCTGTAATGATGCTTACCCAATATTAAGTAAGGGTTGGAATTCATTGTAATTTCTATTACTTCGTTTATTATATACTTAACCTGGCTTACCAAGGATATATAGAGACATGTATATAGTAATTACATAAGAGACTCTTTCTAATTAATTTTATACTTGATTTTGGACATAAAAACACTTGGTGTCAGTACATAAAACAGGCTTAAAGTTAGAACGTCTTATTTCATGAATTCAGATGATTAGAAACAGGCAAGAGCACGGATACTTGTATTTTAAAAAGCATTGAAAATATTCTTTTTCTGGGAAACACAAAATCACTTCATTCATTGCTGTGACTTAGGACTAGAGCAAATAAAATTACAAAGTTAAAAAATGAATGTCAGGGGAAAATTATTTTTTTCTATGGCTAAATCAGTCCATGGATTTGTCTGGGGACTTGAAAGGGTAATAAATTCTTAGAGTAGATCAGAATTTTGTTTTCAGTGACTTCTGGAATAGTTTGTGATTTTTATGGTAATTCTTAAGTTTATTTCATTATGTTAGTGACAAAAAGAGCTTTAAGCATATGTGTGTATTTGTGGTTTTATGTGTGTGTGACAGTATAAGGAAAGCATTTTGAAATCAATCTTGAGGATTCATGGTAGTTTTTTACTTTAAAAGAGTTCTGTATATTATAGAAGCTTGAAAAACACTGCCCTGGAGCATCGCTTCTCAGATGGGAGAGACCAAGATTTTTGACGTGGTTTGAATATTACTTGGTATAAAGATAAATAGGCATAATTAATAGTTGATGTCAACTGAAGAATTTTTCAGAAAATACAGAATAGTTTTCGGTTATCCAACAAGATTATAATTGTCCTGATATGAGTGCACAGCTTTTTCAAAGCGAACAGAACATCCGTTCAATATTAAGCAGGAGCTACTTTATCTCTAATGTAAATTGTTACCTTGCAGGTTGCAACGTACTCCAATCAAACTGCAGTGTTTTGCCTTGGATCCTGTGTCTTCAGCCAAGGAAACTATAGGTTACATTGTTCTAGACTTAAGAACTGCTCAAGAAACAAAGCAGGTACTAGCCTTTTGAGTTTTAATACTGATTCTGTTAGTTGACGATTTTTAGCAGATACCAGATTGCTGGAAAGGAGGTGGAATACTGGACCTGAAAGGTCGGGGGACGGGGGGTTGGTTTGAGCCAGTATGGCAGTTCTTATGTTTCAGTCCCTTCTTTGACCTGGAACTGTCTTTCTCAAAGAAAATTCTCTCTGAGCTCAAACATCCGGTCACGTTGCTGTTACCTGGAGCTTGGCATGTTCACCTGCCGAGCTTTGTTTTAGCGATAAGCAGTAAGCTTCCTGCAGTGTTGCTCACTTCGGTGCATGGTCCCCATTCCTCTTCCAGGCGTGCAGGCTAGAAGTCCAGGAGTCCTTCTCCACCCCTCCCTCTTCAGCCTCCACAGCCACCCTTTTCTAGGTGGTTTCGGGCCTCCAGCCGCCCCTTCCTGATCCAGCTACTCTTCTACATTCTCACCGTCCTTTCTTAACTTGGCTGTGGTAGTAGTCTTCTGATCCCTTTCTCTGCATCCTGCTCCTTGTGCTCCTCGTGTAGCCGTCAGAGCAAGTGAACTTACTGCAACGTGCTCAGATGACCAAAGCAGTAGGCACCCCCCTCCACCCCCGACGGACACACACGCACACAAAGAAGGAAAAAGAATTCAGGGTCTTGATTCCTAGGTTAGTGCTTTCTGTCACTGAAAAAGTCTCTTCCATCTTTTTAAAATCTCTTCTAACCTTTTTTTATGTTACTGGCTTTGGAAATGCTTCAGTTCAATTTTTGTTAATAACTTTCTTTTGTCACCACTCTCTTAAGAGAAGAAAGTAAACACACACACACACACACACACACACACACGTCTTTTGAAGTCCTTTATTCTTGATTGGAATCCTAAATTAGGTTTCTGTGAAGAAAATGGATCTGTTACCAACATTTTCGCTGCTGGTAGCCATGATATTTACAGATGAGCCAGTTAGCTTAGCCTGAATTTGGAATCCTTCGAAAGAAACTGAAATTTTAAAATGTTTTAAAAGAGGATCTGTTTCTCCTCCCTCCTTGGGTGTGCCTCAGCTCTCTGCACTCAGGTTCTGAAAAAGGTTTTCTTTCTTGAGTCTTAGCCCCGCAACCATGATTGTGGCCCTGATGTTTCATGTAACTAGCTTTACTACAACTTGAGCAAGACACTTCTGCAGTGGCTTTAGTTACAGAGAAGGTAAATTCTCTTAGGGGGAGGATACCTGAGAGGAGGTCATGCCTGTAAATGCTCTTGACATTCCCTCCCCCGCCCCCACCCTGGTCCCACCCCCGGTCCTATATGACGCTTTGTCATCATAGTTGTTTTTTTATCTGTATCGGAGTTAAGAAGAAATGTTTCAGAATCAAGAGTTTTAGGAAAGCCAGATGTTGTCTTGCTTATTCTCTCCTGTTTATTAGCAGAAATATTTGAATTGGTGAGTAGAATACATGAAGTTCAAAATAAATTGATTTTCCGTAAATGACTATAAACACGGAAAAACCCAGATTTGTTTTTCTAAGTTATGTAACGGAAAAATAGATAATAAATTTTCTGAGTCGCTGAAACTCATTCTCAGGCTCCTACTTAAAGTGACAAAATATCTATGATAAAAAATACAGCGGGGCGCCTGGGTGGCTCAGTCGTTAAGCGTCTGCCTTTG